ATTCCGCCTTACTCTGAAATAAACTATTGTCTTTTGCACATGGTTGATATTGAGTGAATAGTTCTGGAATCCATTGATTCATGTAAAAATTTTATTAATTGCCAAAAATTTCAATAAGTTACCCTTATTGGTGGACAACAACAACAAAATCCAAGCCTATGCGGTCCAGCTCTGTGCGGTAGAACTTCCTGGTACCGGTTAGTCCTAGGACTAACATGCAGCTCAAAGAAGAGTTGGTCCAACACAGATGAGTTCGATTTGGTTAGAACTAAGCAGTCATATTTACAAATGGGTTAAGAACTTTAAAAAAAATGTACAAAGGAACAATGTCAGTACTGGGTTCTTCATTGTTCATTTTCAGTAAAATCTCTCTAGGAGCCAGATAACTCCCCCTCCCCCCCCACATCTTGGCTTTTGTGACCTACAGATGTCTCCAAGTCTGGGGCTTCATCTCTTTTGCCCTGTAATACTCAGGGAGATAAAGTGCCATCCTCCCTTTAACTAGGGACCCGGCCCATTGTGTAACAATTTGGCCCTCTTGAGAAGACATACAGAAGTTTTCTGATTCTTTTGAATCTGAACAACTAACTCGACAAATGGCTACAGAGCTCATTCTCATGGTACGTGTAGAGTACAATATTCTGGAGCATGAGAAAGCAAACATTCCCTTCTTTATATCATTTTGGGAGCTTCGGGAGGCCAAGGCTTATTGCAGGAGCAGTGAGAAATCCAGGAAAGTTTTATTTCTCCACAGTTAGGTGATCTAAGTGGGAAGAAATTCTACCAGGCAATGTAGATGTTTTATGTAAAAATAATAAAGGATGGTTTAGGTAGATAGACTAGGTAAGCTTTCTGAAATGAGTTTTAAAAAACTATAAGTGGTAGAGACAAGAATAAGATAATTGGAGAGAAATATCCACTTTGGGGAATCCTCTCCTTCTATTTGGTAACCGTGACCTTGGTAGTATTTCAGACTTCTCTAGAAAACTCCTGTTTCTAGAACTATGTCAATAGGATACTTGGAAAATGTCTTTGAACTGACTCCTGCTCTATAAAGAATGTGTAATTCTCATCATCATTTGTTCCATTCCAAATCTGTTGAAAGTTCTGAACTTGTGTGTGGTTACAATAATATAAAGATTAGTATATGGTTAGAAAGTAATAAATATTGAGTTTTTGTGTTAGGGTTTTTGAACTGGGAGTTTTTTAAACCAATAGTCTTCTTTAATCTTTATTTTTTAAAGCAATATCAATGTTGACTGATAGTGTAATTAAGTTGATGAATTAGTTTGATATGTGGAATTCCCTTCTATTATACATACTGACACCAAGAGTGTAAGATATGACATCCCATTCACTGTAAAAATAGATCATTTCTTTTTATTTTTGTGTGCAGTAGTTCTCTCTCTGGTCCTTATAATCAGAGTTTTAATGGTTATCAAGTAAGTAGTCTTAATAATTGACTTACTTGGAACTCTTTCTTTCAGCTTTTTGCCTGAATTCATCAATGGAGACTTTGATTCAATAAGGCCTGATGTTAGAGAATACTATGCTACTAAGGTAAACCATAAACACTTTTATATTTAACATCTTTCTCATTTGATTGCTTTTTCTATGTTCTTTCTGGTTTACTTGGTGTATGTGTAGGGATTCAGAAACTCATTGGTTATTAAAAAAAGTTATAGCAATTATAATACACATTCAGATGGAAATTTAGAAAGACAAATGGAAACGACCTTAGAAATTCTATCACCATCAGATAAGCATTAATGCTTAGTCCTTCAAGCACATATATTTTTTATGAGTTTATAGTTTATATAGGCGAATTTAACAATCAACTGTTGTTGTCCACATCCTCATTGGGTATTATATATTTTTCACAAATCACTTTTAATTTCATTTAATGACTGTTCTGTATTTTACTTAATCAATTCCCAATTGATTTCCATTTAAGTTGTGTCCATTTTTTTGCATTGTAAACTAATAAAAACATCTTTGTAAGTGAGTTTTTATCAAAATGCATAATTATAGAACCACAGTTTTTTTTCTTTATTATTTAGTTTTCTTGAAACTGTTATTACCCAGTTCCGAATCCAACTTGAGATGAACAATAACGTACAGCTTATTAAGTGTTATTTTGTCATTGCTGTTGTGAAAATCTTCCAGAGACCTTGCCACTTAAGAACATAAAAATGATCTAACTGAGAATGATAGAAGACACATAGAAGTATTATACTGATTAATAATTCAAGCTTTCTGAATTTTCTGAATTCTGGCTTTAGAGGATAATGCATAGTTTTAAAGATAAAAATTATAGCCTCAGCAGTTCTTACAGACAAAACACCATCCTCTGTGTTATTCTGTACTGACATTTGCAAATTATGCATATTTTTAAAAGAAACAGCAGTAGTTGAAATAATAAAACTTTAAATTCTTTATAAGGCTTGGGGTTTGATGAAATAAATTCAAAAAAAGGAAAGAGGAAAACTTTTACAGAATGAAGCAAATAAGTGGGGAGGGAGGGAGTGACAGAAGGAAGGAAAGGAAGAAGGGAAAAGAAGAAAAACCAAGAAACATGCTTCTAGGCGGGGAGACAAAGGTACCACGTTCATAACATTAGGCTGTTCCGATACGGAAACTCGGGGCCGGCAGGGAATGTAAGCCCACCAGCTGATGAGACTTCCCATCTGCAAACGAACACTGTTCCCAAGTCAGTGTTTGATATTCATGCTCAATTACGTTAACATTGGCAAGTTTCTGTTCATTCCCCACAGCCTCACTTCTCATTAACTCCATACCTCAACCTCATTAGGATGGAAAGCCCTCAGCCTTGCTTACAACGCGGAGTTTTACACATTCATAGATATTAATCATATTTTCAGGAGCATGAGAAACAGCGGGAGAGGCAGGGACGGGCAGGCTCAGGAACAAGTTGAGGATCTGGCCAGATGGGACTTTTCCCCTCCTCTTAAATGCTGCCTGCTTGGTACAACTGGAAGTGCCAAGCTGGTCGTTCCTGCTTCAGATGAGGAAGTGTCAGCAAATCACGGGGAGTTGGCTTTTTAGTTTCTGAATGCAGTAAAATGGGTTCAGGGATAAAGGAAAGCTTTGAGTTAATATCTTTTGATGAATGTCTCTTATATTTCCTGCTTCAGTTTTTTGGGGGTTTTTTTAACCTCTAAAGCTAATTTATGTTTGCTAAGGTTTAGTTTTTAAAGCAGGATTAGCTGCATATTCTAATTCCTACATTGCATAGTTGTAAGCTGATCAAGTGCAATCCAGCTCTTTCATTGTATCTGGGAGAACTAACTGCTTTTGAACTTTCTGGACCTGTTTCTGGCAGGCTTCAGTGATGTCTTTGATAGAGCTAATGTGCCCTGCATAGGTCATGGTGAATGTTTAGCTACATTTTCAATAATGATGATAATGACAACAAGTTAATGCAGCATTACACACAATTCATATAAGCCATTATCTCCAATTTAAGCACTCTTTAAGCTGCTCTGTTACAAATGAAAGGAGGTTATCTCCACTTGCAGATACACTTTTTTTCTCCCATCTGGTCTGGATATCAATGAAGCTACACCTGGAGCTCCAGTGAAAAAACTAAAATAAAAAGAAATTTAAAATGGTAGTCTTGTTAAAATCATAAAGGGAATTTTTTAGCCAACATTTATTCATACAACCTTTTTTCTCCAATAGAGACTTACAGAAAAAATCCAGGTTTATAACTTTATAAAATTTTGAATTGGGTTGCTTTCTTAATTTCTGCAAACACTAAAATATAAAGAATTTGACTTGTCAGCTGTTAAACAGAAGACATTATACCCCGGAGGTTGCCATCTGGGTTACAGTTGATCTATGAACAGCGCAGGGGTGAGGGGCATCACCCCTACTGCCCCCAACCTCCGCATGTGCGCGCACACACACACACACACACACACACACACTTGAAAATCAACACTCCCACCAAATGTAACTCCTAGTAGCCTGCTATTGACAGGAAACCTTACTGAAAACACAAACAGTTGATTAACACCTACTTTGTATGTTATATGTGTTATGTACTGTATTCTTACAATAAAGTAACCTAGAGAAAAGAAAATGTTAAACTCATAAGGAAGAGAAAATACATTTATAGTACTGTACTGTATTTGATCCTGTAGATTTACATCTTTTGTTTGCAAGATTAATCATCTGTCAGTACCTATGTTAGTATTGTCTCATATGATACAAAACACTGTAGATGTTATACATATTCCTAACACTAGACATCAAAAGTAAGATAATATAAAAGGATTCATATGTATTGACAGGTATAATGATTCATGCATTGATAAGGAAGAAGCAGCAGTCTGATTGCTTTCTGTTAGCCTATGCTTTGTGTAATTGATACCACAGGAGGTAGCTGGGAAATTCTTATATTAATAGTAATGCAGTATATCCTGTAGCTAATATTATGCACTTAACAGCTTCATGCTGCAGCTTTATACTTGTTTACCTTTCCCTTGACTGCAAATGGTATCGTGTACAGTCTGTTTTGATAAATTTTAACTTTTTATAATAGATTTGTGTATATCTCATGGTAGTAAATGATAAAATAGACTAGTATATGCATGTTTTATGCATTCATGACATACCTAACTTTTTCTTATTTTTTTTCCATAGTTCATGGCTATGCAATTTATGAGTTTTTTCAAATTGTTGCATATCTCCAAAAATTTTTCCAATACACTTATGGAAAAAAAAATCCATATATAAGCAGGCCCATGTAGCTCAAATCCATGTTGTTCAAGGTTCAACTTTAGTTATCTATCGTTGTGTAACAAATTATGCTAAAATTTTTCATCTTAAAATAGAAAATACTTTTTATATCACACAGTTTCCCTGGGTAACCAGCATGAGAGTCAATTAACTAGATGGTTCTGACTCAAGGTTTCTCGAGATTATAATATAGCTAGTGTTTCAGTCACCTCAATGCTCCTCTGAGAGCCTTGAGGCTCCTATTCTCTCACAAGATTGTTCAGGTGGTTGTTGATTGGTCTCACTGGCTATTGGTTGGAGACGTCAGTTCCTTGTCACTGGGCTGCCCACACAGGGCCACTTGCTTTCCAGAGAG